ATATATAACAGTCTGAAAAATTCAACATTCAGCACAAGTTAATGATAATTGCACCCAATCATATCCCAACAGAGGCTTTCATTTAAAGTTGAAATCTTAACTCCCTGATAATTCTGGCAAGAGTTCGGGCATACAAATGGATAACTAAAAAAAAAAATCCTCAATGACTTGGATGATGTGTGTTTTCAGCTTCTGAAGGTGTCACTGTAGTGATATTTCCAATACACTTATTCCCTATAATTGTTCCAGAAATAGGGTATTAGCCAGAATTTAATTGTTCCCCTCCTCTTAAGTCAAAAACACGATTTGATGCAATTTTATAGGTCAGCTATAACTGTCAAAATAAGTCAAGGCTCGTCATATATTCTCTCTCTCTTTCAAAATGTAGAAGTTACGAAGACAGCCCGATGTCCTGTTTCTCACACTTTCTCCTGTGATGTGGTTGGCAAGCTAATAACTAATTATTAATTCTTATCATATGTGAAGCTCTGGGCTTAGGGCTTTACACGGATTGGATCAGTTGTGTCTCATGACAACCCTGAGAAGTAGATTGTATTATTTATGCATTTTATACAGATGGGGAGACTGAGGTTTAGAGGAATTATACCTAGCACCCAGGCTGTCTACTCCAGATTCTGTGCTCTGTGCTCTTCTCGACAGAAATGCATATGGTACGGAAAGAAAGGGATGGACACCGTGACCAGAGAGTTTGAGCTGGTCACCTCAATATCGCTAGCTATAGCCAAGAGAGGATTCTGAACCAATAACCCTCCATCTAGGATTCTGTCATGCCCTGTAGGTGGCGACAGCCACCATAACTAAACTTGGAAATTATCAAGGCAATGGGGACTGTCCAAGGATTCTTGCTTTTAGGAGGGCAAGTACCCTATAATTGTGCAAACCAACAAAAGGTAGAACATGAAGCCTTAAAGTATTCTGCTTGATGCTTTAGTATCATAATAATGCAGCCTTTAGAGATCAGCCACCAAATATGCATTTACCCTGAGTCATATGGGCAGAACGAGGCAGAAAGAGGCTTAGAGGATCCTGTAACTCTCAACTCAGTGTTCTTTCCTTAAAGAATGGTTGTTCTTTATGATACATAGGCCAAGCTTTAATCACTTAGTATTTGTTTTAACCCAGCCTGGTATTTTTATTGAGAGATGGAGGAAAACTTGAATTTTTCCTGTAGCATACTATATTAAATTTTCTCTTCTACATATTTGCTATAATTTTCTATGTAAATGTCCTCAGATTTAAATACTGCAATGCATATGGACTCAGCATACATTACTGTACTCCTACTGAGAGGTCTAAATAGCATTCATGCATAGTAAAAAATGATATTTAAATTTGTAATCTATCATTGTTTATAAAAATATTTAAGTAAGAACATTTAAAAAAAACAAAGCACCCAGTTTATGAATGAACTCTGCAGAGTTAATATATAAGTCATTTGTTTGGAATTACACATTTTTCCTTTGTAATAGTTGGTGGTGAGAGTCTCAAGGCAGCCCACAAAAGTCTAGTAAATTCCCTACTGTGGCACCAATGTTTACATTTGTAATGGAAAAAAGTTGAAAATGAATACTAATGTAACGCTGGTAATGGAAAGTATTTAAAATACAAGGGAAAAGAGTTGGACACATGAGCTTTCAAGTCTCCAGAAAGGAGAAAGGTAATGGGGGTTAACGTTAGGTCATACAGTTCCAATGTCTGGACGCTAGGTGGCGCTACTGAACTATAACAGCTGGGTGATTTGCTCAGCCAGGGGACACTCATTTAAGGACTGTTCCTATCACAGATACTCACATGTTCTCTGTCTTTAATTAATTTACTTATTTTGGTTTCTAACACCACTGTGATTTTAGCTCCTACAGAAATTATGACTAAGAAAAACATTGGTGGGTCACAGCGTGTCAGTTTTTAAGAACGAAGGAGAAAAAGCATTCACGAACACAATACTCATGGCTTCAGGAACAGGTGATTTCCGCCCCTTACTTCCACATTTTGGTGGGTGACTATGGATCAGCCTCTCCACTTCTCTGGACCGGCTCCAGTTTCTCATTTTGAAAAGGTAAGTAATGAGCCAATATAATCAAGATTAATTAATCAACAAATCAGACTGTGTAGGCTGAACAAGAGAGGTCAGCTCCTCTTACCCAGTATACCTGTCTGGGGCTCGGTTCTCCCTAATTCAAACTCAAGCCAAGGCTGGGTGGCGTTTACTGAGTGCTCTCTCCGGGGTACTCGCCTCCACATCAACAACTACCCTCCCCTGGCTGGTGAGAAACATCTGAGCATATTCTCTTGGTTATTCACATGCCAAAACTCATTTTTTTTTTTTATTTTCCTCTTGAGTACTTACTAGTATAAATTTCTTTTGAGATATGCTAAATGGGTCTCCACAGAATGCATACATTAATACAAAATACTTTTTTTTAATTCCTAAAAATTAAGTTTCTCAAACATTCTCGGTAGGTGACAAATTTACTTGTCAGCATACTTTCCTGTAAGAATTGAACAAGGTAGGGGCAAAGAGTCAAACTATTATGTAGGGAGGTTATTAACTTCCTTATGCGGTAGGTTATAGAAACAAGCAGTACTGTCCGGAAGGAATTAAGGAATATCATTCCTATCTAGAATAAGCGAAAACCCATTTGACTACCAGACCTTACTATTTTTACTAGCTCCCCAAACAGTCACTGCTGCTAGTGCTTTCTCTTCGGTAATGAGACGGGTCTAAATACGTTTTGTATTGCTGGAGGGGGCTTACTAAAAATCAGCACGCACCTACATTTTTCAAAACAACAGGACAAGCACCAAAGAAAAAATGGCCAGTGAAGTGTCTGCACCTCAATCCAGCTCTGTGGCCGGTTAATCTACAATGATTTAAGGGTCTCTAGATCCCTCGGTGTCTAAGATTTTCAGTTTTTCTTCCCTCTGTTCTCTAGGCTCTTCAGCTATAAAATTCTTCAATAAAGGGCAAGAGCAATGATTTCCAGGCTCCGTAATCCGAGAATTTAGACTAAACGTGCTGACGAGGCAGCTCTGGTATGAATTCACTCAAGGGACTTGCTTTCACCTGGCTGACCCCAATGTGCTGGCCACGAGAACCTACTACAGGTTCCTCGGTTTCATCAAGGCTAAATCGTATTGAGAAGTGGGCCAGGAGGATGCGCTCCTCTCCTGTTCCCTGGCCCAGGGAATATGGCGTTCCTTGAGACAGAGCAGCTGTGGGACTGCTTGGCCTTTAGCGTCACCACAGAAGAATCTCTCCAGAAGATGCCCAAAAGACCACAGAGCATGGTGGAAAGCCGTGAGCAGTCACTCAAGGGTTCGATTTGCTGTATGCACACTGTGAAGCTGGGGTGGTGGGATTCCAAATAAGTGGCGACCAGCTCCACTCAGGCCCTGAATTCAGAGTTCTCCTGCTGAGTGTAGCCCCAGGCCAGAGTTCTGAAGACTCCCTCCATGCCCATGAATGACCCCCTTTGTGACTTCACTGTTGGAATGGGGGGGTGATAAGGGGCAGCCGGGGGGGGGGCAGGTGTACCTGGAGGGTGGGTGCCGTGGGCAGTATAGACATATTTCACTATCTTAACCACGGATACCACTGGGCTGTGTGAACTGGTCATGTGTCGACTCTGGCCTTACAGAAATCTTTCATCCCGCCACACAGGAGTACCAGACAACCCTTACCCTCTCCAAGGCAGCAAGCCTCAGGGGATTTAATATACCGCTATGCCAAACTCAAAAGGACAAAAATCTTGAAATTATAGGTGGAAAGATCACGGCTAACGTCAAAAGAGCTAACAGTAACTCAGTTTTCAGAAATACGTTCTACTTTAACTAACATGCTTATAGATCATGGGACCAAGGCCCAATTTCTGAGAAGTCACGTAGCTAATATGGAGAAAATAGCTGAGAAGTCAAGATGGTAGATTCTGACAACAGCAGGTAAGTGGGCTCCTCGGGCTAAGGTTTTGATTTGTGGTTTATTTGTATTTAAGAAGAACAAAGATAAAAGTACCCTCACCCAAGTTCTCGGGGCTACACCCCAGATGCCGACTTCCCGCGTACTGGGCTCTGGCACCCATGAACGACAGCAGTTCCTGGTCTGAGGACGGATGATGTGTGTGATGTAGAGTCACCAAAACTCTTCTCAAATGTGGGGACAAGAGGGCATTCATTTGTTTTGACAACTACGTGTCTGCAGGATCTCGCTCACCTTTCATCTCACACTGCGTATCCCACACATGCGTGCGCACACACACATGCTCTACAATACAACGCAGAAGAGTGGAAATAACAATGAATGATCTAAGCCTTGTCTTCAAAAAGGTCTAATTTAGAGTAACACCCCACCTTGCACAAAGACTCCAGTTTATGTTATCTTCCGGAGCTAAAAATGGGTCACAGCACGGCTCTTGAAATTCTTTAAATTTTCCACTGTCGAAGGGGCAAAGGAAGGCCTGGTTTCAAAAAGTGACCGCAGTTTCTTCTGCTTCTAGCTATTCACACCCCATTTCCTGTTGAGGGGACACACCTGCAGGGCACGCGTGAAGGGTTGCGGTCATGGTCCTGCATGCAGGTGTGTCGGAATGTATCTCTGAATGAGAGAGCTGAGAGACCCGGGCAGCACCCACCCACCAGCCATGTTCCTCCTGCAAACCCCTGGGGGTGGCCACCTCAGGGAACAGGATCCAGGGCTGCTCCAGGCAAAGCCGAGTTCACGTGGGCATCGCTACGTGCCAACGACGTGGGTGTGGCATGGGGTCCCTGCCCGGCGGAGGACCGGGAGGCAGCAGGGCTGCGATCTGCTCCTCAGTTCTACAAAGCGCAAGGCCACCTCCCATTTCAGGATGACAAGACAAAACAACAAAGAGACCGGTGAATAAGTATGCAAGGCTTGTGGTGGCAGCAGCAGATTAAGAAGAGGAAATGAACGATGTTGTTTGACCTTCAGGATCAAGTAATGATGAGAACAATAAATGATGGATTTCTGAAAGTAATTATATTTCTATGGGCAACCTCTGCGATTGCCCTGCTGCATTCCATTTCTTGCTTCTATTTGGAAACCACTCCATTTATTAGAGTAAAATCATAATTGCATTTTCAATTTGCCCCTCTATCCTATTGCCAAAATTTTATACGCCAGACTGCTTTGGCAAATGGAAGTAGGGCCCAGAAAGGGTATTAAGCTGTGGTTCCTTCACATTCCTGTTTCCATCAGTGGACTCCCAACATGTACACGTCTGTTCGCTGGCGCATTCCAGCAACACGCTCAGGACAAGGTCCATGCAGATGTTGCCAGTTGCACTTTCCAAAGGGAGAAATGGAACCATCAGGGCTTTCAAACATGGCAAGTTTAGGTTGGGACCCGAAGCTCCAGTTTTTGGCATCGATAGCTCGTGATTCTACCCTTCCTCTGCAAGCCAGCGGCAACCTCTCTTCATGAACAGATTTCCCTCCTTTATTGGCCCGAGTCCCGTTCAAGGTGAGTAACCCTCAAAACGCCAAAGAGCCTCTACAAAGGGAGTTACCTGGGTCTTTGTAGATACTGAGCACACCCTTGAAGTAATGAGGTAAAAATCTTTCCAGTAAAAGCAGCACATCTTCTAACTCTTCGAGAATCCCCACAAGCAGGAAGTTTTCATTCACGTTCAGTTTTGCTCTTTCAAGGGCCCACTCACCAGGCTCCCTTTATGGATATAAAAATGATTTTTCAATTAGAGATTCATTTTCGAAATGTGGCAACAACATGCTGAAAAGGTATCTCCTCTACCCACCCACCGCCGTTTGATCGAGTCCAAATCCCATTTCCTTCAAGGACCAGGCCTGATGTGGCCACCTCCAGGGGTCTTCCCGCTGCCACTAGCCTTTCCCCCCTTCTGACCTCTACCATGTTCACGGGTTGGCACTGCCTCGCCCAGGGCCTCAGGGGGCCTGGCCGAAATATTTGTTAGAAGGAGGATACAGACACAGGCCGTAAGGTCCTATAAACGCTAATCAAGGGGCCATTAGAATGGCTTTTTAATAGAAGGAGCAAACCAATAAAGCGAGGGGTTTTGAAATCATGAAACGTACTGATACGGTATGTCTATCGAAATCAAATAGGTATCAGGTCATGTTTGCTCATCTTATTCTTTTTTAAAGAGTTTAAAGACAATTTTTTTTTTTCTTAAATTACAGAAGGAAAACAGCCTAATCTCATTTGCAAGGCAGAGCTCCGAGCTAACAGCATTTACGTTAGTGGGAAAGGACAGGAGTCACAGGAGCTGGGCTCTAGGCCTGGCCGGCATCCATCATCCAAGGGAATTGGGGCAAGCCTACCCAGCTCGAGTAATTGTCAAGGTGGAGCGGGGGATGTTGTGAAACAGTTTTGGAAATCATCATGTGTGTACCAGGATAAGGCACCACGAGTGCTCTCCCCAAGATTAGGAAATATATAATTTAAGAAAATACTTGAGGGAGTTAGAATCATGCTTCTCCGAATAAATATCTTCACTGTGACAGAAAGTCATCTGGCCCCAGATCTTCCCAGTGTCTGAAGCATTGACCGTGCACCAGGAGACATTTATACAGGGGTGAGGGTTGGAGGGGGGAGGCCTCCTGAACTCAGGAAGTTTATGATAAAGCAGAAAACTGACACTTCTAGTCCTAGAATCCGGACCATAAACAAAGTCCTGTGTTATGGTAAACTCAGCAAAGCAACAACAACAACAACAACGCCCATGGTAATTAAGCAGTGATCAGAGTGCGAACAGAGAAGACAAGGGATGAGCTGCCCTTCAGAAAGGGTTTCTTCCCTTGGTCTTTCAGGAACACACTGACCTTCTCATCAATGTTCCCTTTGGGGGGAAAATGTCAATTCTGGTAGAGGGTTTATTTTCCCCCACATGAAGATAATGTTCATTTTGCATTACTGCCATTTCTTCTCAAGGCTACATGTTTGTCTAGTACAATGGATTTAAATTGTAGCTAGACTAGATTCCCCAGAATTATCTGCGCCCCACCTCAGAGACTGTGATGAGGTGGAGGATCCCGGCAAGGGCCCCAGGGATGCTGATGCAGGAGGTGGGCAGACCAACACTCTGAGAGCCTTACTATCTGAGTCAGTCATGTTCTACAGAAGGCCTTGCATCCAAGTAAGGCTGAGGGGCAATCACTAGAAAGTAATTTTTCTACTAAGTATGTCTCCTGAGAGAGACACTATTGACTTTCAGGGGTGAGCACCCGGTGTTTCAGACCCAATTAGATAGGGCACGTGGGCAAGAACAGTTGCAGATGGAGTAGAGACACTACGGAGGAGTAGGGTGGGTGCTCACCCCTGGTCTTTACTATCTCATGGGCTGAGCAGTGACAGCTATGAGTTCAGAATTTAAAAAAAGGGTTCAGTTGGCATTCCAGTTACACATCTTGATGGGGTGGTCCCAAGGCCTCTGTCAGACCTTGATCTGTTAATTTCATCATTTAGAGGACACTCAGAGTCTCAAATGCAATCTTTAAAGATTAACAGTAAACATGACCTGAATTCCAGAAGGCCGAGAGACTAGGCATGCAAGAGATTCCCACACAGTGCCAATTGGTGGCTTTCCTGCCATCGTTCTCCACCATAGCATGCCACGAGTCTGTGTTAGTCTTTACCTGCATCTGGGATGCTGTCCACAAAAATATGGAATGATGTAAAATAATCTGGGGTTGGAACACTCAGGATAGTTTTCAAGAATGCACTCATTGATATCCTAGAAGAGAAAACACAGCAGCAAGATGTCTGGCTTTGTCAAATGCCATACAGGGTAAGTGAAATGGATACTTCAATTACATGGGCAAGCCTTGAGAGAATTCATAGATTTCATGAGAAAACTTTCTTGTTGCCTTTTTGCCTCCTGTTCCACTGGCCAGGTGCACATGTGGTCTGAGCATTTCCAGAAGTGCTTGCTCCATTGAGTAAAGTGCATTTGTGCATTTCCCAGTGGCTGGAAGTCTTTAGCTAGATGACAAGCATCTTGACGGCACTTCTCCCCAGGGTACACACTACCCACTGCATCCCAGAAGTTACCAGCCCACTGGGATGCGGTCGGCACTTAACAAATATTTGTTGAGTGAACGTCCTGTGGCTTAATTCTTCATTCATTCTGACTTAATCAGAGATCGCTCTACAGCTAACCCTACAGAAATATGTTTCCCTGTGTATCTGTACATCCAACAAATAATAATACCTACAGCAGTTACATAAAGGACTTTGTAGATTTTGGAGAGGCTGTAAAATGATTTCTAATGTCCTATTAGGTTGGAGAGTGACAGGATATTTGTATATACTCTCTCACTTTCAAAGGCAACACTTGAGATTTCCAGATTTTCTGTTTCTCTTCTGGGAGGTTGAAGATTGTGTCTCTGTTAGCATTATAAGGACTTACAAGGGCTTGGCGGGTGAGAAGAAAGGCTAAACATCAACTTTTATGAGGTGGGTCGTATTGGATACCCTAGAAAAGGCACGCCTGGTTCTTAAGTATTTCTAAGAAGTAACAATAACCCAATTTACAAATAAACCAAACAGCCATGGGATGTTTTTCCAGAGACAATACTGGCAAGGCAGGTCAAGAGAGGACAGAACTTGAAAACATGGTCACATTGTTGATGAAGTTTGAGTCAGTTGACGCCCTGTATCTGATATGATTGGGGTAGGTGGTTAGTTATTAAAAATTTTTTTGGTTCAAGTTGGGAATCAGAAAAATGTACCATAAACTTTTTTTTTTTAACAACTCTTTCTTTCCCTCTCATACTTCTTTGGTTTATATACCAATTAAATAAATTACACAATTACAATAACAAATTCAACTGGAATAAACAGATTCAGCAACAAACACTCTAGGTAAGTACTGGGGTCTCCTGTGGGAAGCAGGGTTACACCACAGCTCCCAGGGAGGAATATACTAGAAGCAAATGGAGTACATCAGTCCATCCAGCCATGGGTTAAGTGAGGGGTGGTGAAGAACACTTTATTGTGTATGAAAATCCAGTAAAAATGCATGTTATTAGACCCAAAATCTCTTTCTAAGAAGAATTTGACACAGAGGCGTATATAGGTCGTCCTCAACTTATGATGGGGTTACCTCCTGACAAACCCTTTGGAAGTTAAAATATGTTAAGTTAAAAATGCATTGACCACACCTAACCTACCGAACATCGCAGGTTAGCCTAGCCTAGTTTAAACGTGCTCAGAACGCTGACATTAGCCTGGGCAAAATCATCTAACACAAAGATTATTTTATAATAAAGTGTTAAGCATCTCACGTAATTTATCGAATACTGTACACAAAGTGAGAAACAGAAATGGTTGCATGCGTGCAGAATGGTTGGACCCTCCTGATCATGGCTGACTCCTCACTGCTGTCCAGCATCACGAGGGAGGCTCCTCCTGCCTATCGCTAGCCCAGGGAAGGGATCCAAATTCAAAATTCCAAGTACAGTTTCTACTGAACGCATATCGCTTTTACATCACTCTAAAGTCAAAAAATCGTTAAGTTGGACTATCTTAAGTTGAGGACCATCTATATAAGGATATTCATTACTACAAGATTATTACAACAAAATATGACAATTTAAATGTTCACTGATGGGGGACTGATTCACTGAGAAGTTATGGTACATCCTACAGTGAAATACTGGGCACCTGGGAAGGTTAAGGAGGATTTACACATACTGTCCTGAAAGTGTCCACCATGAATATTCAGATGAAAAAAAAACTGATTACAGGACGATATGAAGATGTCGGACAATATGAAGATATACATATATGTTTGAAGGATAAATACCAAGCTGTGGTTATTTCTGGCAGTAGATGTAAAAGGTGGGAATACATTGAACTTCAACTTTATTCAATTCTGAAATGTCATTTTTATTATAAATGTTTTATGTAAAATACCTTAAGTAAAAATTATTTTATATAAATGCTACTATTATTATGTGTATTTTACTTTTATCATCAGAAAAAAGGAGATTTGCGTGTCGTAGAACAAATCAAGGCTTGTATGGGAGGATGACTGGGCTTTGCTGGAGGATGCTTTGATCTTCCTCACAGTCCGGGTGACCTCTGGCTGCTGACACCCCGGGGACCTAAGCCTTAGGTCAGAGGGACCCCGTCCGAGGGAAGGAGCCAGGAGCTAGGTGAGCAGCAGAGCACAAGGGATCTCAGGCCAGGGCGGGGGTGATCAGAGGCAGAGGATCTGCCTGCTGAGGTGGAGATACCACACCAAAAGGCTTAAGTAAATTGGTAGTGGTTTAGGGGGTGTCAAGAGATGTGTCCAATACACAGTCCTTGCTTCCTCTCCCCTGGGTGGTGCCACCGCCCCACCCCAGAAACCTGCATTAACGGGAGGGGGGCGGGCAACAGAGCCTGCCAGAGCCGCCCAGAGACCCCACAGCACCTCTCCAGAGCTCACGTTATGGTTTCCTCTGAATCAGAACTGTGTCATCATTTGTTTAGGTGGGAAGTCCGTGAGAGCACAGACTGTCTGTTCGCAGTGTCTCCAGCACTCAGCACCCTGCCTGGAAAAAGCAGCGGTGCAATAAATATTCAGCGAATAAATGAACAAATGGCAGAAGGAAAAAGCCAAGACACACAGCCATGATTCTGTGCCCGGCGACCTTGGCCTGGAGCTTGCGGGAGTGGGCAGAGGACATCAGCTGGCGGGGGTGGGAGCAGGGAGGGCTGAGAAGGTGCATGGACCTATGAAGGTCATTTCCCTACTGGAATCCACAAATAACTCTACAAGGTCAATTTATGGGAAGACATACATTCCTAGTTTAAGAAGTGCCGTTAGCAATTTTTCTTTTCTTAGATCAAGGCAAGTCCCGGGGGATCTCAGAGTTCCATTTGAGCCCATTAGAGGTTGATGAATGGTGTTGACCACAACCATCCTACGGAAATGCTATGGGAGGACATAAAGAAAAGATGACTCAGGTGTAAGGTCAAAAGGAAGCAGAATGGGAGCCATGGAGACCCACACACTGAGCTGCCTGCAGCTTTGTCACAGTGATCAGTGACACTTCCCAGCAGCTCAAGGATGAGGGGCCTCAGGAAATCGCTTCTGGCCACTCACACCATCCACTCTTCTTCCTGGACCTGAGACCTGCAGCGAGTAGCCTTTAGTGTCCAGGGAAACTGCAAGGGACAGGTGTCAACCCAACTTTCACAGAGTGCCTTGCGCTGACAGGTGTCACTGATCCCCCGGGACCACTCCGGTTCTCCCTCCACTGATGGTTTTATTGTTGGCGTTAAGGCTTTGCTATCCTGCGTTGTTTCAGGCACCCTTTTACGCTGGAGTTCTCTTAGTACATATACATATGTATGTATATTTAAATGATTATGCAACCTCATTTTTTCTTTCCATGCAGTGCTTCTAAGATAAGGTTCCTTTAAATAACAACTTTAACCCTTACTAAAGATTAAAAGTTTTGCTCTAGGATGGTCATATTCTCATGTTATTAGGGAAATGAGGCATCTCGATAAATGAACATTCCAGATAACTAAGAGAATCCTTTTAATTGCCAAAACTGCCAAAAAAAACTAGATCAATTTTGTTGAAATTTATTCTAAACTGTACTATTTTAAAAAGCGTCCCCTTAGACACTCTAGGGTTTTTTGTATATGTGTGTGTGTGGGCGGGGTTCATTTTCCACTTTGATCTTACAGGGAAATCATCTTTTATTGATTTGTTCCTGAACGTTTCACAGGATGGACTGTGATGAACGATTCTCACCTTCTGAGTGCCAAGGGGCCCTGTGGGCTCACAGAAAGGGCCGCTCACGACATCCAGACCCCAGAGTCACTCCTGACCCCTCTCTCACCTGACTCCACGTCCACTCAATCGCCGGGCTCAGCTCTGGTTTCCTCATCTGCATCCTCTGACCTGTTCCACACCCCCGCCCCTGCTCAGTGCCTCTCCGGCTAGTTAGTATCTCTTCCTTCGGAGACTTCTCCCTGAATGCATTCTCCACGGCCCCAGGAACTGAGGGGAAATGCACATTCATCCATGTCACTCCCCTGGTTCAAAACCTTGAATGACTCTTACAATGCAGTGGAACTAGCAATCAGTTAGGGCACCTGTTAATAATGCTAATTCCCTGGCCCTACTTGCAGAGTGTTTGATACACTAGGCTTGTCTCAGATAAGGCTCGGAATCTGCACTTCAAAGAACCTCTGATAATTTTGAGAAGAGGTCACTCTCCATGAGCTGCCAACACTCTACCATTAGATGATACCATGCTTTCGCTCATCCATTTCCCTTGCCTGGCATCTCTCTCTGCCTCCTCCCAGGGTCCCAGCAGCAGGCCCATGTTTTGGAGCTGTTACTGGCTGGGTGAGTACCAGCACATGATAGTCCACCGAGCCCTGTCACTCAGGTCAAGGGAATGAAGGCAGCTTTGACCAAGGATCTCTTCCATCCTGGTGCTTCACTGCCAGCCACGTCTGGTAGGTGGGGTCGCTGGGACAGGCCTATGGTGCCTCCCCGCAGGGCACAGCCTCCCCATTGTTGTTGGAAAAGTCCCCGGAGCTGGGTCTGCTCCCAGCGAGCCCTGCCGGTGGCCAGAGGTCTGCTGTAAGTAGGACTCTGTAATGACACCCACAAACGGATTCCCATCTGCACCCAGTGCCACTTGGTGTCCCCAAGTGATCTTCCGCCTGACCCCTGGCAGGGGCTCCTCCCTGTGTCACCACATGCTCCCTGCACACT